ATATATATATATATATATATATATATATACAAATTTAATTGTTTATATTGGTCAAAATACTTACTAGAATGAATTGATAAGTGTTTCCCACAGGTGATTACGCAATCGACAAAAGCTGATATTGCTTAACAAATATTAAGATTTAAAAATATTTTATAAGAATCATATCTCGTTCCTGATTGTCACGTAAAATTCATCAAAGACTAGGTATTACCAATGAGTTAATATTCGCGGAAAAGAACACCACGTACTCACACAGAACACCAATCACCCTTACGTTATAGTGACGTTATAGTGACGTTATAGTGACGTATTAATTGTCATCCCCAAAACAAAAGATCAGAAATCATTCATATGCTTGGAGCTGCACTTGGCAATAATGTCTGTAGTAGAACACTTTCACTGAGATTAATGAAATTTAAATGGTCTTATTTTGTTTAGTATTCTACATATCAAAGTTCTTTTTATTAAAATATTTTCATTTTGCATGACCATGTAGTATTTTTGTATTCGGTCATCTGATACACGAATGAAGAAGTAATTCACAACTGAAAGAAAACATCTTTGATACGCGTTTGTGCAACTGGCTCTAAAACGTGTTTTTAGTTATTTTTTTCTAATAAAAGATTAGACAGATAAAATTGATATTCATCAATCTAATAATTCCCCAATCGTTCTGGCAGACGTCACGGCACCTGGAATTTGAAATTGATATTTTCATTGTTGGGGGTACTAAACATGAAGCCCTCCATACTGTTTCAAATTTTTTAAAATCATTTTTGGATAAAAGTTTGTTGTTGAATAGTGCGAAGGATGTTTAAGAGAATGGAGGTCTCATTGTCGTTGTCATCCCCGATTTTTCGAAAACTGCAAAAACAACTTTAAAAATTTACAAAATTGAAGATAAATACTTTTGCCTTACAGAAAGCATGCTGTACAAAATTAGCTCTTTAAAAAAGGCCATGTACAAATTCATGGAAAAATAATTAGTGTTTGTGTAATTTGCGCTTGTAATTGTCTAAAATTCTAAATTTTCTCAAAATCTAAATTGGGAAAATATCATTACTGCGTGGATACCGGCACATAAGAATATATTTGGTTATGATATCGCTGATTTCAAAACTAAGAGAGCCACAACAAAAGCCCACCAAAACCATCCATCCGAAACAGTTAAATATATTTGGAAATATACATTAAGTAAAAATTAAATATGCAATGGTATGAATCATGGCTAAATGAAAAATCCAGCAAATTCATAAACATATTACTAGTTTTTTTAACTTGTGTAGCGTCACGGCTTGGCAGCAGCAAGCCGAGTGCAAGGTAGAGGGTTGGAGGATCTAAAAATAGACGCCCAAACAAAGACGGGACTTTCCAACAGGAAATGGTCCGCGGGCCAGGCAGCGCCAGGGAAACGCTCTTTCCACCGCGCGGGGGTGGGGAGTAGTAACGTAGGAGGTCAGGTGACCTGAACCTATAAAGACGCCGCGGCGAGACGGCGCGAACGGGGAACGTTCCTGGTTTCCTAGTGGCTACACCACAAAAAACTTTGTCCGCCCAGGCTGGTGCGAAGTGCCGATGGCACGTGGTTGTTCGACGAGTTCGGACAGGGTGATGTGTTCTTCAAACACATTCGGGCAGATCGTCAATCTGCCGGGGCACACCAGGTGCCAATTTGCGAGGCGGCCTAGCAGGCCGGTCGCAGGCGTCGCCGCAAGGCACATGTAGGGAGAGGAGGGCTGCAGTAGTAGCTCTGGCAAACTGCCTTAGAGTGAGAGTTGAAAATATGTACATTGTGTAAATAAAACTTGTATATACTCACTCGTGACTGTTTCCTTGTGATGTAGATCACTACACACGACGTTACACTTGACATAAATACATAACAAAAACCTCAATGAATCAAGAACAAGTTACGATCCAACAAAAATGCGGTCAAATCATTCTAAATTCTCTCTGTAAATAGGTTTTTATTGAAAAACTTACCCCTACTACCTGTAACACTATTCTATCAATAAATAAACACTTCTGGAATGCCCCATCCACAATGAAGAAATACATAAGTACCCAGAAAATGCAATTTTAACTTTTCCAAGACCCCAAGAAAAAGTGATACAAGTTTGTACAACTACTGATATTTTAACTGAATTGTAATTGAATTTTGTTTATGTATTAGTTCTCTTGATCTCTGTTGTTTATGTGATTAAAATAAAAATAATTAAAAAATAGCTCTAATTTTTTCCTTTAAATTTTCTCCACATATGTAATAAGGGGTCATAAAAATATGGCGCTAGTCCCACTTTCGGGTGTAGCTCGGGTTTTTGAAAATTACAAAAAAAATTAAAACTACAAAATTGAAGGCTACAAAAACATTGCACACTACAAAAGCTTTTTTTTGCCTCAGACAATGCCTGTTGTGCAAACGTAGCTCTTTAAAAATGGTTATGAATAGTTTTTGAAAATACGCGTAGTTTACGCTTGAAATTTTCAGGTGTTTTTTTCAAAAACTACTCCAAATTTTTTTCTTTAAATTTTCTAAACATACGTAATAAGTGACAGTAAAATATATGGTGTTCTTCCCTTTTTCGAGTATTATTATTATTATTTTTGAAAATTGCAAAAAAATTTCAAAAGTACAAAATTGAAGATAGAGATTTTTGCCTCACACAATGTCTGTTCTACATATTTGGCACTTTAAAAAGGATCATGTTCATTTGTTCGTTAAAGCTGGTAGTTATTCCAGTTTGAAATAAACGAAGCATATGTGGGCGTCCCGATAATAAACGTTAATATTGTCGTTGCGAGATGAATGTGCTGGTATAGAATCACTAGTTTTGATTCAATCGTTTAAGCGAAAACATTCAGCTTTCTACAATTGAATTCAGTGTATTCACGCTCTATATGACTGTACCAATGAAGCGCGGTGCGTATGTCACCCGTAAGGAAGACCGGGGTTAGTTGTGAATTTATGTAGTTTTTAAATGTGTAAGGCCCATAATTTAAAGTTTGTAATAAGTGGAACAAATAGAATGATTCTTTGTATAAATTTTCATACTCGTATAATAGGCATTAAAATACATAATGGTTTTAATGATATATAAACAATTTTGTGCAAGTGCACTTCGTCACAAGCTACCCCTCTACGGGGCAAGTTGTGACTGGTCTACGTCTCGCCGTGACACATGGAACAGAAACTAAAATATTGTTATATTAAAAAATCATGCAAAAAGTCTTTACTTCACTGATTCGTTTATACACTTTTATTTAATCTTCATTGTTTTGAAAATCCTAATGGCAACTAATATAAACATAATATTCTACAATTTTAGTATTTTAGTTTACATGAACCCATTTCTTCACTGCTCACAGTTCTCTACATCATTTGATGTTTGAAATGGTTCTAAACAAACAAGGAAAACACGCATTTCATCGTAAAACTCTCAGATTTGTGCGTTGTCTTTTATATCTTTTATTTTAAACGCTATATATTCATTTATTTATAGTCGCATAGATTGCTGAGACATTAACGACTTTAGGTGTATTGTCCTGTTACAAACTTCAACATGACTACTATTTCTTATATGGTTTAGCACACTAATTCGTTTTAAAAAGTTCATAGCATCGAACACACTTTCAATGGCAACCAAACAGTTCTTGATGTTCTCAGACAATCCAGTTCTTTCACATTGGTTACCATTACACTCTGTTAATATATGGAAAATAGATATTGTAGTTCCACATTTAGGGCACCTGTTCACTGGTGTTTTTGACATGAGATGAGTGTGTCAAGTTGGAGTGACCCATTCTTAGTCTGGTCAATATACATTTAACCTTCATGTTCTTGATGCATGGTTGATGCTGCCACACATTGTTACAACCAAGTGTAGTTCTGACCTTGAGTTTTTCCAGATTATGTTCCATTTTTGCCAGATGCATTGGTTTATAGTCCTTTTTTGTTCTTCAAGAGTAATTGTATCTTTTGTATAATCGATTTCTTGGGAAATTACCTTTTTGCTGCTGAGTCTGCTTTTTCATTTCCTTATATCCCTTGATGAGCTGGGATCCATGCCAAGACTATTTTGATATTACGTTCCATCAAATGTATTAGTTATATTCTTGAACTTTTGTTCTCGTGGCTATGCGTTATAATTATTGGTTTAAATAATTACGCGATAATTCTCTGGATAAGCTTTTGTACACAATGTTAGGAATGTTGTCTTTGCCATACGTTTCATTCATAATGTGGTCATCCATTATAAATTTGAGTTCCTCCCATGGAACTGGGTGGACTTGACATTGCATTGAGACATTCTCTTTAAGTGAAAACTCGTTCTTGATAGTACTTATTCTATATAGTAAAGATTTTGGTAGGTTATTGAAGTGCTGTTGAAGGTCTCTATTTTTCTTTTATCATATTATTTTTATTTTTGGAATGGGTCACATAAATACACATCTACATCTACGAGCTACGAAATGGCACAGTCTTTTTTTATTGTTTTTCTATTTTATTTGGTCTGGGTTGCCCCATCATCTTGCCAGCTTGTTCGGTCTATTCTGACTTGCTCTTTCCTCTTGCCAGCTACCATTCTCTCTCAAAGTACTTTGTTTTAAAATGTACTCGTTTTCGGATTTCTAATAGTAGAACCGAATTATTATCTTAAGAATATTAAAGAGGAGTAATACCTCGCCCTAAATGACAATTTGCATTGAAAAATTTGGAGCTGTCTTTAAGAAATTAGTGTTTAAGCGTTACAGTGAATCCGAAATTTTGAACCTCTTTCCACACAAAAGCTATTGAGTTTTTGTAAAACTTCATATCAAGTCATTCCAAGCACTCCAATCACAAAATGCAATAATGTTTACAAATTGCTTGAAATGTGCTTATTAAATAGAAATTTAAAAAACTACATTTGTGTAATTAAAAAACAACAATAAAATAATACAGAAAAAAACTATATCATGTGCAATTAACACTGAATGTTGGAAAAGTTTAAAGAAATTATTTGGAGCAATATTTTGTGAAAATGGCGTTTGAACGTTTCTGAAAATAAGATGTTTTGTGCTCATTTTCACAGAAAACGTTACTTTTTCGAAAAATTTATGTGGCATCATTTAAAACACATGTACTCATGTACAATAGTGTGAAGAAATTGTCGCTAATGTGATTATTATACGTAACGTTTACGTAATTAGTAAAACGTAATATTAACGACGTGAAAGACGTCAAAATATTACATTTTTTTGAAAAACAAACGAACAGAGCAATATGGCGTTATGTGATCATAAACAGTGCATTTAGCATTGACCGTACGAAAAGTTGAAAGAAAAAAATTGGAGCCGTTTTCGAGAAAATATTGTTTTTGATATTTTTAATATTGCACATATTGTAGGCAGTCGATGCGCATAGCCGATCCGATCGCTTAGGCAGTAGTGCCGTACAACTTTCCCCGTCACTACTAGCCTCGGTCTCCTCTAAATAAATTTTTAGTTTACATTTACGCAAACCAACGGCGGCCGTCATTATCGTATTCTATTATCAGGGACGTGTTACTATACGCGCTAGTGTTCTTTACAAATTCCACAGCGGGGGGGGGGGGGGCAAGGAGAGGAGGGCTCTGGATACGTCACGGCTGAAAAGGGCGTACCAACTGTGGGCATGAACTTAATGAGCCAAAGCATGCCAAGAGAAATGCTACGATTGTTTTAAAAGTATGAGATGGTTGTTGCCAGCATTATAAACTGGTATGTGTTGTTCCGAGTCGAACCTAAGTATCTCGGACGACATAGAATTAATTTTGCTGTATCCTTTTGCTTCTTTTTAAATTAAACAAATGTATTTTTTTGGAAGATCTTCCGCGCCTTTAATATGCATATTTCCAGCAATTTGTAAACACTATTGCATTTATGACTGGAAGTGCTTGAAATGACGTCATATGACGTTTTTCGAGAAATTTATAGTGTTCTGTGAAAAGAGGTTCAAATTTAGAATTTACAGTAGCGCTTCATTGCAATTTTCTTAAAGACGGCTCCAAATTTTTCAAAGAAAATTTACAATTAGGTCGAGGTGTTATTGCTCTTTAATATTCTTAAAATAATATTTTCTATCGACTATCAGGAAGCCAAAAATTATAAAGTTTAAAAAAATGTACTTTGAGTGGCGATAGATGGCACCTGACAAGACTATGTGGCAAGTCCGAATAGCTAGCCGAGGCCAATGGAAGTAGAAAACTAATAAGGGAAAGTCAGTGCCTTTCTGTAGCACCACTAGTTATCCCTTTTCTTCTTGAATAAATACAAGTTCTTAGATATTTTGTTTGACGGGATTAATAACAACTCTATTTTCTATGGCTTTAAAGAGTTGACATTGAATCAGTGAAGATTGCAATGAGTGAGACATTTGTTGATTTGAGGCTGAATTCAATGCCTTTTAGGACTGCCCATTCTTTGCATGAACAAATCGAAGAATAATCTGGGAGGTGATGTGATTCCACTATATTGGTAGGCACGTAGACTGCACACCTAACCTTTCTATCACGTAAGAACCATCTAGTTGCAATCGCAACCACCCATCGCACAGCGTGCCCCGTGCGCCACTCCCCTATAAAATAACTCCGAGCAAAGGGTGCTTTTGGCAAAATTCGCCTTGCGCGGCTGCGCGCGCCGCCACCCAAGGATTCCCCGACGTTCGCCCGCCTCCGAAAAGCACCCCTACGATCTTTGTGTGGCAACAGGAGATTGACTCCCAGAACACTCGTATTAAGAGACTCGGGGGCAGCTCGCTAGCTAATCCCTAAGGGGCAATAAACAATGAAGCTTTGTAGAAGAGTAGCAGACGCTTGTCGAGTCACGTAGGCGCTAATAGAGAATAATTAACAACCAATTATATGTTAAGAAGTGAAGGTTGCAAAGATGTCCCTTTAACCCAATCACAGAGGTCGGGTGATAGAATAATCTGGAAACTTTTGAACAAGCCAATGAAAAGCTTCGCGCTACGCACGTGGCAGAGCTCACGCATCTGGCGAAAGGGATGGGTGACGGGAATCGGGTGAGATGATGGTGCTAAAAAGATCAGATTATTAGAGAAAGAATCTCGACAGCGATAGGTCATCTCTTAGACAGACCACAGTTCTTAGTTTAACGGCAACAAAAGCCATTCAACTGATGATTTTTCACACGATCCTACCGGCCTTCACCCAGCATTGGAATTTATTCCGGATGCCGGGCTGGGATAATAGGATCAACACACTGAAATTATCCATGAGGATTTGCAGCCCGACCATTCGGCTGTAAAACACAAAACGCGATCCAGGCGACGTGTGACACCCTGCGACCTGCGCGTCAAAACCAACTCTTCATTTAGCAGGCGGCCACGGATGATCTCCCGCCCAGTCTGATGTTGGACATTCGCGAGTGCTCGTGCCGACTACAGGGGTCCTTCGCTACTGACGACCGGTATTGGACGTGTAATCCTTTCGGGGTGAAGTAACGACATCATAAGCATCACCATCCTATATGTGAATTCACACCCATACTTACTATCAGCCAGAGGAAAGTTTTTTTGTCGGGTGGTAACACAAAGAAAAGCAGCCTGTGTATTACTTGTAGTCAGGCGCTCACCCGTGAGGTGCTCAACGCCGGTGACCGGATAGCAGGTAAGGCATGCGCTTGGCGCCCTTTACATATAAATTCAACGCGTGCACTCTGCTTTCTGAAAGTGACCGTCGCACCGTAAGTGTGACGTCAATCCCCTCCCCCCTTATGATAGTGTGACTCCCAAGTTGCATTACAATATACACTTGGTAATAATTGTCTTCTAATCTTGTTATTAAATTTTGCAAATTTACATTGGGACCAGAAGTAAGGTAGGAATAGAGAGCTTTAATGTATTTCCCATGTATGTAGGTACATGCGCAGTAATATACGTAATATAGGGAAAGTTGAGTAATGCTGCGGAAATTGATTTCGATATTTCAATAGAAATACATATTTTGACACCCCTGATACCGAAAGAGTGGTAATTTTCAAAACGTCCGTCTGCTTGTCCGTCTGTGAATACCACTAGCGCTAAACAAAACATATGATATTTTACTAATTGAAGAAATCCCTGTCCCTCTGGCTAGAACCGAGGCGTCGAGATTTTGAAAAACTTTCTTTAAAATTTGGGTACACTTTGGAAGCCATCAGGAATTTTCTAAATTTTCTCAAAAATGGCTCCACATTTTTACTTTAAATTTCTCGTACAAATAGAGTAAAATACTCTTATAAAGACAGCATATATTCGATTATCACGGTTAACACTGCATTTTCGAAATTTCGAAAAGTTTGAATTGTTTGCGGGGTCTTCCAATAACTACAAAATGAAAAGCAGAGATTTTTCTTCCAATGAAATTTATTTCTGATAATCAGTTTTTTCAATAAGGTCAAGTATACTTTTTCAAAAAAATATAGTCTTCTAGCAATATTGTGTGCAATATTTACAGTTTTAAAAAATTACAAAAGCAAGTTTAACCCAAAAACGCTCATTTTTCCTTTAAACTTGTGGTATTGATAGTTTTAAATTCATTCTATAAGATGACATAAACGCCATATTGCTTTATTCTTTTGTTTTCTCAAAAATTACGAAAATGTAATTTTTTGACTTATCTCTCATGTGGTTAATATTTAGATTAGCGGGAATTGTTTCACTTTATTGTATTTATACTATATGTGCTTTAAATAATGTTCGATAAAATTTCTCGAAAACTCAACAGTTTTCTGTGTTTCTGAGTTTACAATTCTCCATTTTCGAGAACGCTCAAACGCCATTTTCTCTAAAATGGCTCCAAACTTTTTCTTCAAACTTTTTTAACAGGTAGTGCTAATTAAACTGTTTAAAATGACTAAAAGTTTATTTTATTGTATCCTTTCGTTTTTGCAAAATTATACAAATGTAATTTTTTGAAGTATCTCTCACGCCTTTATTATGCACAATTCCAGAGATTTGTAAATCTTATGCATTTGTACAGAGCAATAAATGATATATGAATTGTTTCCAAAACTGAATAGTTTTCTGTGAAAAGAGAGTCACATTTCGCATTCACAGTTGTGGCTTACTGCGTGCTGCCGGAAATTAGTTCCGGCGCCACTCAAGAGAGGGCAGCTATAGCAGACGCCGCGGCACCGTCACACTCGACCAGGCTCCGGAGCGGACGAGCGCACCCGTACCTGACAGCTGGCCAGTGGACCCGCAACCCGAGCCGGCTATAAAAGCCGCGCCCAGCGAGCTGAGAGGCAGTCAAGCGCCTGCCTATATTGTGAAATGAAAAGTGGATTGTGAACAAGTGCGACGACACAGCTACGGTTACGGACTTTCTCTCTCTTGGAACAGTGAACGGCAAAACGGCTGCGATTTTGGACATCTCCTCGAGAAATTGTGACTTGGACATTCTTCGGTACATCTTCTGGAAAATTCTGGATCTGGGTTGAATATGTCTACCTCTGTACTGATTGTGGTTGGAATAAATCCATTTTTAGAAATTGCTTTCTTTTGGATACTACGTTCATAGTAAAGCTTAAACACAATTTTCTCGAAAATGGCTCCAAATTTTTCCATTGACAAGTATCATAGGACGAGGTTTTGATCTTCTTTAATATTTTTAAAATAATTAATCATTCGATTCTACTATTAGAAAACCGAACAATTCAAAAAGTTAAAAAATATACTTTCTGGGGTCGAAGATGGCAGATGGTAATACTTTTAAAACAATATTACCACCCTTCAATTTGGAAAACGAAAAATTAAGAAATGTCAAAAAATGTACTTTGGGTGGCGATAGATGTCAGCTGGCGAGTGTCTGTGGCAAGCCCGAATATCAGCCGAGATCAAAGGAAATAGAAAACATATGAGGAAGTCTCTGCCAATGTGTAACCCTATTATTTCTTAATTATTAAGTATTGGAAATAATGCTAATATAATCCAATCCCAAAAAATCCAATCCCAAACACGAAACGCCCGTGCATACCAACGTTTATTTCTATACCCAGGAACAATAGTCATTTCGCACATTTTCGTATGAAACATTCTATAATCAAAATTTCTTGAAGTAAAAAGAGTGTGTTTGTTAGATTCAAGGTACATTTTTTACCTTTCTTCAATCTACTTCCGCAAAAATTTGGAATTTTTGCAATTTTCGAAAAATCAGATTTCCCACAGAGACCTGCACCGTTTTCTTCAACGTTCTTCAGACTATTCAACAACAAAATTTAATAAAAATATGTTGGAGTCGTTGTGGGAGAAAATTGTTTTAACAAATTTAAAAATTGATTATATATTAGGCAAACTTACGCGATAAGTACTGAAATGTTTGAAAATTGTACCTGGCCTTATTTCAAATTAAAGGATAGATTTCATAAAAAAAAATCTTTAATATTTTAGTTGTAGGAAGTCACCGAAAAAGTTTGAAATAGTAAATTCAGGGTTTTCAACGATCATGAGACTGCACCATTAACTGTAACGACTTTCGCACTACCCAACATCAATATTTATTCAAAAAAGTTGGAGCCTTTGTTTTAATAATTTGGGAAATGTTCCAGGGGCCTTATGAAAGCACACATCAACATTATTAAAGTATCAGTTTCAAATGCAAGGGGCCGCGACATCAGCCAGATTGATTGGGCAATATCAGTTTTGGAGAAAATAGAATGAGCAGTTTAGAGTTGTTCGCAGACAGACAGACGTTTTCCCGTCAATCGATTTTTCGGTATCAAGACCCAGAAAAACATTCTGGCTATGCCCCGTGTTAGATGATTATTTTCTTATAAATTTAGAAAATGAACTTAACCAACTTTTTTATTACCAGGAGACAACAATAACTTTTCTGTCGAAAATTTTCTGCTTTTTCCTGCAGCACTACATAACTTTTTCTCTACTGCTTAAGCGGTAGCGAGAAAGTAAGAACTTAATGAGTAAATCGACACGATGGCCCGAATTTTTTTGTGATTTATGACTCACCATGTGAATACACATAAATTCATTATTCTTAAACTATTATTTGTGATCTACTTTTCCCACTTTAGTTCCGTTTCAAGCGAAAAGCAGATTAAGTACTTACGTTGTTGCCCTCGAGGTCGAAGTGGGTGAAATTGAGCGTAATGCGGTATTGAGGCGGGGCGATGATCTCCCAGATGCAGTTCTTGTTGCTGGGGTACTCCTCGGGGAAGGACGGGCTGCTGATGGTGCCGTTGGTGGCGTCGATGACGCCCCCGCACGCGTCTGCGGACCACAACTGCGTCACGCGCACGCCGCGGCCAGCGCCAACCTCTTTCGCCGACTGCCGCTCGCACTCACTATACCTTCTTTGGTTGCGGCGTGTTTTGTATTCACACATTTCTATACTTTGGTAAAATATCAACGTAGTTATCGTCACAATTGTTGAGGACTTTTTTTGTGAACTATTGACGACACGAAATATGTGGATAACTGTCCTGATGATTTTACTCCAAGTGTATTATGAGATCGACAAAACATTAAATGACAAGACGTTTCCTATTGACTCATTTTCGACACTCGTGAAATGCCACGAGTGGAAAAACTATATTAGTCCTAGATTGGTATATTTTTTACAGAAATTGGTGCAGAAGGCGTGGAACTACATATTAAGACTGAAAACTGTTAAATATGAGGTCATTGACGTAAAATAAGGACGCTGCTTCTTTTTTATGAGTGAAAAAACAAAATGTGTCCTGGACAGGTTCGGTTCTTCCACTCAAGATTTCCCATATCTAGCGACTCGGCTGCTCGCAGCGGATGGTTCACGTTTATTTGCCAGCGGTACGGCGTTGATATAATTTACTTGTCTTCTTACTGATCAAGAAGTACGCGAGGAGGAAACAGTAAGTGAGGAGCCAGTAATTTTTGTTATTTTGCATTGAAAGAATGTGTTCATAGTAAAGTTTGTAAACATGTATTCGCGACCTTACATGTAATATAACAAATTTAGGTTCAATGGCTGACAATAATTCTTTTGTGAGATCTGATCCAAAAGGGAGAAGAGCAAACACACATCGGCTTTCAACTACAAAAATCCTGTGAAGAAAAAATAACATACATACAGACATAACATACAGAATCCTTTTCAACGAAAATTGCACTACTCATCCTATTCTGTGAAGTTAATGCCGAATGTGTTGAACGTCAACGCGGCCTGTTTCATAATTAATCTGGAAAAGAAAAATATTATAATATGAGATTTCTACTTAAAATTTCAATTAGAAATTTGGACGACCCCTAGTTACATAACTTACGTCGACTCTTACAACCATTATATGTGGTATTTTTGTAATACATTGTTAATTTGGAAGAAAATATATAGCTGAATAACGCGGTGAAAAGTGACCCAAACCAAATCGATAGTTGTAATGATCATATGGAAGCGAATAAAAACATGTCGTAGGTTCACAAAAAATTAGTCTCATAGGGCAGGGATCAACTAAAAACGGATCTTTCATGTTTTTTTCCCTCTGCTTCTTTTTCACGTATCAGGATGAAACATATTTCAAAGACAAGAGAAAATAGTTGAATTTGAAGGTATTTTTGTCAACCAATTTTGAACAATTCCAATTCAAATAGGAAAAAATTGAAATTGATTTTTGGTTTCAGTCTCAGGTTTTCCCTTTCGAATATGTCATATAACATTCTATAAGATAAATTTTTTTCGTGGTTCGTGACGCGAACTGGGACTGTGCGGAACGACCAAAAATCGATGCATCAAAGAACCCACCTATCTCTTTCCAATTAGGGAAAATCGGGAGTGAAACGATATTATCGTGAACGTGTGAACGGAAGTGGCGCCCTGGGATGCTGCTCCCACATAGTTGCGATCATTTATTATTTGGCATATGCTTGTTACTTGGCGGAAATTCTTAAGCCAGAAAATACTCTGAAAATTTGAGTAGACTGTTTATAAACGAACGTGTGATCCCAGTAATTGAAGAAGACAATGATTAATTGTCTACGATTGTTTAATTGTCAATGATTATTAAATCTACAATTTGTAGTAATCTACAATTTGGAGTAATTTGATTTATATTATGAACCAGAATTATTAATATACTTAATTCAAAGTAATTTGATTTATATTTAAAATAATATATAAACCTACAAACAATAATGCGATTTAATGACATTTTTTTCGATAATATGAATACTTTCCACATAAAAACGTTATAAATTATGCTGGTAAGTAAGACTTTTCAATAATTTAAATTGTTCAAACATCGGCGAAAAAATATCCAATCACATTTTGGCGCGAATTTCAAATTTTTAAACTGATAAAGATTTTAATTATTTTTCACTGTCCTCCACATCGTTTAAAAATCTGGGACATTCTATCTGGGAAAATCTATATTTTAATGTTGTAGAATGTTATAAGACACATTTAAAGGGGGAATTGAGACGGCTCCAACGTTATCGTGCCGAAAATCAATTTCAAAGATTTATTTATTTTTCTCTTTGAATTTCAAAATTTCAAATGTAAAAATTGGATGACAAAAATACCTTCAACCTTCCTGGTCTCTTGATACATGCAACAGAAGCTGAGAAAAAATAAAACATGAAAAACACGTTTCTCATATCCCTGCAACAATTTGCCCTAAGAGGCTTATTTTTAAGGGAATGTGTGTCATTTTTTATTCTTTTTCGTATGAACATCAATGTTACCGATTTAATTTGGGGCAACAAGCTAGAATACATTACACATGGTGGAAATACATGGATGAGTTCCTTCATCTCATCGATTTTTGCTCGTTCTGCGCGACACCAATTCGCGTCACAAAACACGTGGCCACAGTACGGGCACTTCGTCTGAAAAGCCAGAGCGGAGGTTGGCCGCAATGTTCAATGGAGAGAGAGAAACATTTTGAAAGTGATACAAACTGACAATTTTCTACGGTAAACAACCAAAAATAACACAATTAATGTGTAAAGATGCAATATTTAAAAGAAATGCTTCATAAATATTTCAATGTCTTGGAACGAGGTGATATTTTTTTGTATCTGATTGCATTTAAAATTCTTGCTGATGTCAGGGATCAGAAGCTTATTGGCTGAAGTCTGATACGATGCGCAAGAGACCCCCAAATTTGTTGCCTTATTTGCGACCTGTTTGTTTGCTTCTCATTGCAATAACATTCACTTTCAGGCATTGTGCTATGTAACAGTAACATGTAAACAGTTTTCATTCTTGTTTGCAATACCCGATGCAGTAAGCAGCATGTTTTAAGGTTCCTTACATATTGTAATTTCGTTTTTAAATTATTGTTTTTTGGTCGTAAAACTCAGAGTGAGAGGATTTATATTGTGCGCGGCACGCGCTCACTCGACCTTTACCAGAGTCAAACGGAATACTAGAATACACTGTTTCTCTAGAAGGAGCTGCTTGGACTGCAAAAAACATATCTTAAATTTGCTTAAAGGATGGAGGCGCTTCTACCCCTCTATGTAGTATATTCTAGCTCGTTGGTTTGGGAGCACTTTTCATCGTCTTACTCGGATACACACTTTGGTTGGTAAATTTTCGAAATACAGTACAAGTTTTCAGTTTTTATTTAAATTATAACACATTAAGAAAGTTTTTATTGCATTTAATCCTCAGAACATATTTTGTATGGATTGGTACAGTTGTAAAATAAGAAAATTGTTTAACAGTTTTATATATCTAAACAAAAGTAGTAACTTGAATTATTGCAGAATAAACTTTCTGGACTAGTCCTGTATTTCCACTCTCCCCATTCAATTAATGAATCATTTTTATTTGTTTTAATTGAACCCCAGTTTTTTTAATGAAATGTTTTGCTAATTTCGCGTTCACTTGAAGTAGATATCACTCATATTCCTGAAATCTACAAAGATAGTATTTTACAAAATCTCCACTTCACTGCCACTTTTAAAGTAATTAAAAATCGCTTGAAAGAAATAACGAGAATAATATCCCAATTCACATTTACTGAAGAGACATTAAACACAAATTGCGAAAAGGCATTGAAATAATATAGACTAAAACTATTAGTAATGTCGAACTAGTAAAGGGCTTAAAAATACATGTCCAAATGTTGTTTACCAAATTCAAAATGAGACGTTTACAAATAGAATATGACTGAAACTTTAGAAAATGAGAGGAATGGTAGTAAAGTGGAAGAGAAAAGAGGAAATATCGCTTGTTGGATGTCTACCGAGAAACCCCAAGTGCATAACATTTAAGAAATGTTTATGCAATGACATTTTACTTCGTTTACGTGCAAGAAGAGTCGCGCATTTCTTCCACTGTTCCCATTTTAAATTATGTTTGTAAATTTAAAAAAAAATGATAATACTCCACAAAATAATTTTTCGCAAAATATTTGCCCCAGTATTTTAAAACGTAAAAGAAATACGTAACTAATACGCTGCTTTCTTTAAGAATTTTTAAAAATGTTTAACTGTCGTCAATTTTTATACTTCTTCCATCATTTAAACGTCAGTATTCTTCCTTGGCATGCAAAGACTACGTAAAGTAACAAAATGGAATCCAATATAAATAAATAAAGAAATGGTATTTCTCACAAAATATTATTTTACTTTGCATTATAACTCCTTTCTTTTTTGCTCGCTCTTAATGTAATATATTTACTAATTTCATGCCGTCTGGAGTCGAACTAATCGTCAGTAATTTGTTTTGCGAAAATCAAACCTAAAAACAGTGGCATGTTAACTGTGAAGTGTGATAAACATAAAAGAACAGTGTTACTCTGAAGATTAAAATTTGAAAAGAGGAGTTTTTCTATCGAAGTTCAGGGGAATTTCATATTAGGGTAAAATGATACGCCATTATAAGATTTTGATAATGTATATTAAACTCATATATAATATTTCATTTTCATTGGAAATCAATGTTATTGATGATGCGAACAGCATATTCATTGTAAAATAATATAATACTTGGAATTGTGGTCAGTCTTTTTATCTTGCAACGTTTACGAAAGACAATTACTTACAATTGAATACGAAGGTCAAATGATGACGATTAACAATTGATAGTCGACATTTCGCGAAAACCGAACAGCAAGCGGACGTAAGAAGAATGCCCTGTGTGAATGCAACTAATCCCGATTACACAAATAATTATACCAACACCTACGGCATCCGTATAAATATTAGATGCCGTACGCAAACCGCAATATCCTAGACCAATTGAAGTATGCTGTTTTCATCCCGAGCCGCTCGATTTTGGAGTTCATTTTGTCCCAGACCTCCTGCGGGGTGCGGGTGGGGGCGGGGGCGGGGGTTGGGCCTGGGGGCAGCGCGGCGGGTCTGGGAGCGTGGGCGTGGGCGGAGGAGAGGACAGGTAGCGGC